AGGCATTCCCTCTAAAATCTGGAACAAGACAGGGATGCCCTCTCTCACCACTTCTGTTCAACATAGTTCTCGAAACACTGGCCAGAGCAATTAGACAGACGAAAGAAATTAAAGGCATCAAAATAGGAAAAGAAGAACTTAAATTATCACTATTTGCAGATGACATGATTCTATACCTAGCAGACCCAAAAGGGTCTACAAAGAAACTATTAGAGCTAATAAATGAATTCAGCAAAGTGGCAGGATATAAAATCAACACGCATAAATCAAAGGCATTCCTGTATATCAGCGACAAATCCTCTGAAATGGAAATGAGGACAACCACTCCATTCACAATATCTTCAAAAAAAATAAAATACTTGGGAATCAACCTAACAAAAGAGGTGAAAGACTTATACAACGAAAACTACAGAACCCTAAAGAGAGAAATAGAAGAAGATCTTAGAAGATGGAAAAATATACCCTGTTCATGGATAGGCAGAACTAACATCATCAAAATGGCGATATTACCAAAAGTTCTCTATAGGTTTAATGCAATGCCAATCAAAATCCCAACGGCATTTCTTGTAGAAATAGAGAAAGCAATCATGAAATTCATATGGAAAAATAAAAGACCCAGAATAGCAAAAACAATGCTAATTAGGAAGTGTGAATCAGGCGGTATAGCGATACCAGACTTCAAACTATACTACAGAGCAATAGTAACAAAAACAGCATGGTACTGGTACCAAAACAGGCGGGTGGACCAATGGTACAGAATAGAGGACACAGAAACCAATCCACAAAACTACAACTATCTTATATTTGATAAAGGGGCTAAAAGCATGCAATGGAGGAAGGATAGCATCTTCAACAAATGGTGCTGGGAAAACTGGAAATCCATATGCAACAAAATGAAACTGAATCCCTTTCTCTCGCCATGCACAAAAGTTAATTCAAAATGGATCAAGGAGCTTGATATCAAATCAGAGACACGCCGTCTGATAGAAGAAAAAGTTGGCTATGATCTACATACTGTGGGGTCGGGCTCCAAATTCCTCAATAGGACACCCATAGCACAAAAGTTAATAACTAGAATCAACAAATGGGACTTACTCAAACTAAAAAGTTTTTTCTCAGCAAAAGAAACAATAAGAGAGGTAAATAGAGAGCCTACATCCTGGGAACAAATCTTTACTCCTCACACTTCAGATAGAGCCCTAATATCCAGAGTATACAAAGAACTCAAAAAATTAGACAATAAGAGAACAAACAACCCAATCAACAAATGGGCCAAGGACCTGAACAGACACTTCTCAGAGGAGGACATACAGTCAATCAACAAGTACATGAAAAAATGCTCACCATCTCTAGCAGTCAGAGAAATGCAAATCAAAACCACCCTAAGATACCATCTCACTCCAGTTAGATTGGCAGCCATTATGAAGTCAAACAACAACAAGTGCTGGCGAGGATGTGGGGAAAAGGGTACACTTGTACATTGCTGGTGGGACTGCAAATTGGTGCAGCCAATTTGGAAAGCAGTATGGAGATTTCTTGGAAAGCTGGGAATGGAGCCACCATTTGACCCAGCTATTCCCCTTCTCGGTCTATTCCCTAAAGACCTAAAAAGAGCATGCTACAGGGACACTGCTACATCGATGTTCATAGCAGCACAATTCACAATAGCTAGACTGTGGAACCAACCTAGATGCCCTTCAATGGATGAATGGATAAAAAAAATGTGGCATTTATACACAATGGAGTATTACTCTGCATTAAAAAATGACAAAATCATAGAATTTACAGGGAAATGGATGGCATTAGAGCAGATTATGCTAAGTGAAGCTAGCCAATCCCTAAAAAACAAATGCCAAACGTCTTCTTTGATATAAGGAGAGTAACTAAGAACAGAGTAGGGTCGAAGAGCAGGAGAAGAAGATTAACATTAAACAGGGATGAGAGGTGGGAGGGAAAGGGAGAGAGAAGGGAAAATGCATGGAAATGGAAGGAGACCCTCAGAGTTATACAAAAGTACATACAAGAGGAAGTGAGGGGAAGGGGAAAAATAATACAAGGGGGACAAACGAATGTCAGTAAAGGGGGCAGAGAGAGAAGAGGGGAGGGGAGGGGAGGGGAGGGGAGGGGGGATAGTAGAGGATAGGAAAGACAGCAGAATACAACAGACACTAGTATGGCAATATGTAAATCAATGGATGTGTAACTGATGTGATTCTGCAATCTGTATATGGGGTAAAAATGGGAGCTCATAACCCACTTGAATCAAATTGTGAAATATGATATATCAAGAACTATGTAATGTTTTGAACAGCCAACAATAAAAAATTAAAAAAAAAATAAAAAATAAATAAATATTCAAAAAAAAAAAGACTTATTTTAGGCCTTTTTTGAAATTCTACAAAGAATTATAATTTTCCCAGGCTTTAACTTACCTTGGGAGCTTTGAAAATATTGATGCTCAGGCAAAACATGACCAATTAAATTAGAACCTTTGCAGAGACTTGAGCTTTAGATTTATTTTATAACTTTCCCAGAAAATTATATTTTGTTTAATAAGGGCAAAGAATCTCTGTGTTGAAGTAGTTTATCAGAATTTAGAAATGCTAAGTAACTACCACATTATTTGTTGTAAAATTAAATTTGGAATTAAGTTTATCAAAATTGTTGGGTTGAGAATAACACTTTCATCCTGCAGTGTGGAGACACTGTGAATGGAGGTATGGTGAAAGTCTTATCTGCCAAAGAAGAGAATAAAATTTTGTTGGCCAAGTTTTCTTTTGGACTTGAGATATTCCTTTTTTATAAAATTGAAGAAGAGTTTTCATATTTGAAAATGTAGAAGTTAATTTTTATTTTTAGACATTATTGATGCAGCCATAAGTGACACATCTGAGTTTAATCACTATTGATTCTTTAGAAACTCACTTCTGGAAACCACAAAGAGACAGGAAGCCTATTTTTCAGGTTATATGCATGTCAGAAAAAATAATGATGTAAGTGCTCATTTCAATTCCACATGGCTAGCTAAGGGCAATTAAAACTATAATAAAAGATCCAATATCAAATGTTTATGAGTAAGGGTCATTTTATGAATGGAAATGAAATTAAGACACTAATTTACTGTGATCTGGAAATATTTGCATCAAATAAGTTGGATCAGAATCTCTGTAAATTGTAAATGAGCAAAGTAGGAGTCAATGCTTCTCCCCAATTCCCACCATGATGGATTTCTGATGCCTCAAAAATATCCATATTTCTTTGTTTAGTTCAGTAGAGAAGTAGATGTTATTTTTCATGAGATACAGTCGATTGGAAATATATTTACAAATTGCTTACTGAAGTACTTTATGAAGTAAACTGTATTTTCTGATGTGTCATCATCCCAAATTTTGTTACTTTTCCTTACAAAATTGTCTCCTAGGATTAGTCCCAGAGAGCGTTCCTCATACAAACCCACCTATGAAAAATTTACCATTGGATAGTGATATGGAAAAAAAAACACAGACGCTATACTTTTACTATCAATACCATCTAAAACAAGCTTTGACAGTGATTTTAAAGAAAAAATTCCAACTTATTATATATTTAATATTTATTGGTTGATATTGCACATTGGGAGAGAATAACATGGATATAATGTTTTTTCAATAAATAGCTAGAAATATTATTCTAGGAAAATGGCAGATCTTAAAAATACTGCTGTTGAAATCTTAAGGAAATCACTCATGAGAGGAAGGACACCTGTATAGCTGCTCCTAGTGAGAAAGTAATGAAAATTCAAATCAGATTTTTGAAATGTCTGCTAACAGCAGTAGATATTCTTTGTAAGGCTAAACTGTTTCTTGTAGACTTTTGCAATGATATTTCATTTAAAACCACCTATAGGGATTGATTTTTTTCTCCCGATTCAATTCAGGAAACAAACCTATATTGATTGCCTATTTATATGAGGCATTAAGTTAGATGATAAACATTACAGAGATAAATACATTCCCCATCCTCAAGGTCCACACACGTGGAAATGGGAATGGGCTAAAGCAGGAAAATAAATAATAGAGCAAGACACACACACACATACACATACACACACATTCTCTCTCTCTCTCTCTCTCTCTGACTAGAATGAATCAAAAGAAGAAAATTTTAAAGATTTATCATGGTTGCTTTGATGATAATTTATCTCAATTGACTAGGTTTGGGAACTAAAAAATGATGAAGAATTATCATAACATTTCTGTATTGCCAAATCTTTTAAAAAAACATACTTTACAATGATATTAACATAACAATCTAGGTTTTAATTTTTTGAGGATTCTGGATTTTACCACTTTATTCTAAAGCAAGTTGGTGTAGTATAAAAATAAATTGATTTTTAAAGTATTCTTTACTTAGTAACAATCATTAGTTAAAATATTCTAAATATTAATTATTCCAAAATGAATGGTTAAATTGACAGTAAATTTTGCAATGACATCATTTCTGACAGAATATTTAAACTCATAGTTGGCTTACTTTTTTGGAAAAATCACCCTAAAGTTACCAAATATTGCTTCTTGGCAAAAAAAAAAAAAAAAAAAAAAAAAAAAAAAAAAAAAAAAAAAGGTCAGTAACCAGTTATATAGTATAGTTTTCTTTTAGTCAGAATTTCACAAGTTACATTTTTTTCTAAATCACAATATTAATCCAAGTCCTTTTGAATTACTATTTCTAGAGAAATTGGCTTCTCAGAGAAGAAAAAGCAATTGAGATTGGTCATGCCAATACCTTTTCATTGTAAATGACCTGGCTGACAAGCTGAGCATGAGGCCTGCTTCTAAAACCATTTCTACAGCTTTGCTTTTCAGTTCTCCTTTCAATAGTCATGATTTATACTGAGCTACCTCATTTCAGAATAAAATGTCCTCTTGATTTTTCTCATTATGCCATATACTGCAAAATATTTAGTTCCAAGAAGGTTTTATTGAAATGGGAGCTTTAATAATCACAAATGATATACTTACTTTTTTGGAAACAATGGAAGACAGGTCCAGGCCAGTAAATCTGCATTGTTGGTTGCACAGTCAGTTCCAAACAGTTTTATAGTGAGCATGGATTCCCTTGGAAGTGATTTTATTTCAAGAGGAAAATTGATCCTGAAAATAAAAGAAGTAACATAATTGGTTCAGTCATAATGGTATTTTTGTAAATATTTTCTTAGAATATCATGATTTGGAACAAAATTATTTAACTATTTGAATTGAGGTATCCTTTGAAATTTTCTAATTCTATAAAAATAAAAATATAAAAGACATAGGGTAATTAAATTCTTTACTCAATAAATGGTAATTATATTTATAATTTTGACATATAGTTGAATTTTTAAAAATCTATAATAACTTCTGTATTCACCTTCAAGTTATTGGAAGCATGGAGGAAAGAATGACTAAATTTGTCTTAGAGGGTTGGAAAAAGGAGATGATTTGAAAGGATTCTTAAGAGGAAGGTGGGCTGGCTATAATGAGATGGAGATTTGGAAAAGAATATTCCAGGAAGGGAAAGGTATACAGTAAAGGGCATGTGTGCATAAAAAGACCAGGCATATCAGTTATGGTGAGTGGCTCACTGCCCAGAGTACAAGAGATGAGTTCAGCTGGCAAGAGAAGTTTTGAAGGATACAATTAGAAAGATAAGTGTTTGCCAGAATGCTGAAGAGTTCTGCATGCCAGGCAAAGAAATTTGAACTTTTCCCTAAGGGCAGAAGGAAATATTTGAAAGAGAGATCCAGAAGTATAGAGAGTTGTTTTTAATTTTAAATTTGGACTGTCCTTGGTGATGATGAGGCCTAGGATTATGGAGGATGATCGCTGAAATGTAATGCATGTGCAGTCCCTGGATATGTTAAGGTCAAGGTGCTCTTAGCTCAGGTTCTGATGGATTGTAGATAATGGTCGAAAAAAGAAAAGAAAAGAAACAGCTAAGGATAAATAGAATTGTTAATGGTGAGGAAACTTGAATTTCAGTGTTGAAGCCATCCATATATGTATGGGAGTGTCTAGAAGGTTATACATGATGTATCAGTTTGGAGGGATATTATGTGGGTGGCATGATTGGCTGTGAAGAAAGAGCTCAGAAACCTGACATTGTTCCCTGAGATTCCTCCTTGTGGGCAGGGAGACAGCAGCTTTTCTTTCTGTTCTGGAGTTATCTTGATTGTGCAAAAGTGATCAGCTTCTTTAACAGGAGCCTCAAGAGAAGCATAATGTTTAGGACAAAATATATATATGAAGCAAAGGGACAGAAAAATATTTTTCAAGATGCTGAGATAGAGGAATATGTTTACCAGAAGATGAGAATTCTAGGGCTAAATGGGAAAAATGGAACAATGGTTAAGAGACAGACGGGAAGAGTGAGAGGATCTGAGTCATCAAGGAAGAGATGACTAAAGAAAAGTGACTAGAAGCTTGCCTTGGATGATACTGATGGTGTGAGGAGTCTGGGATATGAGTAGAGTCCACTGGCCTTGTGATTTATAATTGGACTTTGATGTCATGTTATCTAGATAGCAGGTGATTATTAAAGGACTGATGATGACCAAATCCTATTGTCCAATTAAAATGTGCTGACAAGGTTTGCCCCCACTACCACCATGGAGGGCTCAGATATCAAAAATCTTCTCCTACTAGGAGTTGGCTTTCTGATCTAGAGGAAGGTAGGCTGGTTATAATGAGATGGAGATTTGGAAAAGAATATTCCAGGAAGGGAAAGGTATACAGAAAAGGGCACGTATGCATAAAAAGACCAGGCATATATCAGTTACGGTGAGGGAGCAGGCCTTCCTCAGTTTTCAAGTGAAACCTTTGTGACCCCCCTTTTGCAGTTCCTGTGCAGCATCCAGCCTCAGGGACAAGGGAAAATCAATTCGTCCCAGTGACCATTGACACTTGACTGGCATCATAGTACTGGAATAGGACAACAAAATTTCAATGGAAATTCCAGTTTTTAGATTATGAAGTAGCAAGAAAATTTTAACTGACTGATAGGAAACAGAGAAGAAAGAGGAAATTGACATGGAAATAATGGGCACAATGTGTACAATTCAGGTCATGATGTCATGAAGTTAATATTAACTGTGAAATACTAATATATAAGCTGTGTGTGGGGAGGATGATTCTAAATTTTGGATGTGTGTGTGTGTGTGTGTGTATGTGTATGTGTGTGTATTCAAAAATTAGCCCTATTGACAAATTAGATGTTCCTCCTTAAACAATATATTCATTCAAACTTTCTAAGCTTTATTTTTCATTGTCCATAAAATGAAACAGCTATTAAATAATACAATATTTGGCAAATGGTAGGTTGTGTAATAGTAGAATATTCATTTATCCCATCAATAATGTAATAGTTTATGTTAACCATTGTGCCCTGAAGTCTCACCTGTATCAAAAATACATTTTTTGTGGACTGATGAAACTCAATTCTAGTGAAAAGTAAAGGACAGGAATAAAGGAAAGACTATGGTGAGGAAAATATTTTTAAAAACTGGAAAATCTGTATTTATTAAAATATTAAAATGTTGGCTGGACATGTGGCACACATCTGTAATCCTAGAGGCTGGTTAGGCTGAGACAGGAGAATTGTGAGTTCAAAGCCAGCCTCAGAAAAAGCGAGGCACTAAGCAGCTCAGTGAGACCCTGTCTCTAAATAAAGCACAAAATAGGGCTGGGGATGTGGCTCAATGGCCAAGTGCCCCTGAGTTCAATCCCTGGTACACCCTCCCCCCCAAAATTAAAATATTACATGCTTATATGTCTAAAACTAAGTCCTTTCTTTTATATTCTTTCATACTCATAATATTTATTACAGATAAAGTGGACATATTTCTTAGCTTAAAAATGTTCTGAAATGCAACATAAAATGTTGATGATACCATGGAAAGCACAGTAATTTCTTGGATGTTCTTTCTTTTACCTATAATTGACTTTCCATTAGATTTTCATATTTCTGTGTAGGATAGAAGCTGAAATTTCACTTTATTTCTATCATAATCTAGAATGTTCTTTCCCCCATTAGATTGAGCTTTTTCATGTGTAACATCACTTGTTAGTGAGCTTTTCATATTAAGAATGAACAAAATTAGATAAGTTACAGTTCATAGTTACTGCCAATATCCATTCTTTCATTTTTATAATAAAAATAAATACTTCTGTGGAAAGAATATATGCTTTCTAAATAGTTATTTATTCACTTTTGAATATGTATGGATTTAAAGAGCCAGAATAATATCACAGGCACTGGAAATCTTTTTTTTTTTTTTAAACTTCTTCATGTCTGCTTAAAAAACAAAGAAAATGAATCCTTTGTCTATACAAAAAAGGATGAAAAATACTTCATGGGACAATTCAGTAAGAAGAGTCAGATTACTTATTTTATCCAAGGAACTGACACAGAAGGATCTCAAATTTTAACCATATATTTACCTTACTATATACTGTTTCAAATGAGTAATTACTAAAACTTTTATTATAATTTTTCTTATATATAATATAATTTTCCTAAAAAGCAAAGTGAATTTTAATAGTGAAAATGGGAGAGATCTAAAGCTTCATTGTTTAGAACTCTCCTATTAATACAGGTATAAAATGGAAACACCAGACTAAACAGATCCTTGACTCCTGCAAGGACTTTGACTTTTGCCAGAGTGAAATGGGACAGGATGACATTTGGGGATTTTTTTTTAAAAACAAGAATGGCAGGGGCTGACTTATATTTTTAAAGAGATTGTTTTAGCTGTGGTGTAAGAAGTTGGAGATTGGAGATTATCAGATGACTATTGATGGCACATACAGGAGACTTGATGGTAGCCCAGACCAGAGGTAATTGGAAGTAATGTGGATATATTTTGAGAAGGATGGCCAGTAGGATATCCTGTACATGGGGTGAGAGAGAGACAATTCAAGCTAAAAATTTGGACCTGAACAATGAAAATGAGAACTGATTGTTTAAAGCAGGGGAACAGTTTAGAATGTAAGACTAGCAATTTCATTTTAGATACATTGAGTGGGTAAGTGTGGAGTTGGTGACTGATGTCTGGGTTGGTGATATAGATTAGATAGTTGTTGGCATTATGTTTAAAGGGTGTGACTTTAAGGAAAAAAAAAAAAAAACTAAGGGAGTAAGAACATATACAATGGAGAAGAGTGAAGGACCAAGATCATGATGGGTCTGGGAGAAGAAAAGGAAGTGGAGAAGGAATGGCCAGTGGGGTTGGAGTGAGCCAAGTGGAGTGAATTTCAAGATGGAGCGTGAGATCTATAGTGCTTCTGACCGGCCACAACGACACTGGAGGAATCAGCATTGGATTTAGCTGTGCAGGTCACTACTAACTCTGATGAGTGATTTTAGTGAAGCAGAAGTGATAAAAACCTGATTGAACCGATTTTTAAAGCAGAGGGAAGAAACTGAAGAAAGTGAAAACCTGGGAAGCTTTTTGCTATAAAGCAGAGGAAGATAAAGGGTTGACTGCTGGCAGGAGATGAGATGAGGTTCAGATTATTTTTGGTTACTGTAAATATGAGCACTACTCATGGGCTGTAAATACTCTTCCCAAGTGTTCACTTGTAAAAAACAGTAAGTAAAACACCAGCCCAAGAGTGAGAGTGGGTCTGAATGCCAGTTTTTCCTTTTACTAGTTGTGGGCCTTGGGGCAAGTGAATTAATTTCATAAACATCAATTTTATGGTATATAAAATGGGAATGACAATACCTGCCTCATATTTTTGTTGTAAAATTGATACTAGATAGTATAATTTGAGAGTGTATTGTGGTGGTTAGGATATATAAGGTGGCCAAAAAATCTATGTCAAGCCCTAATAAACCACAAAGTTTTGTCCTTAAATTTGTAATCTAGCAATGAAGTGTACTTTAACTTATAGTAAAATGAGCACAGGTTGAGGAAGTATATAAAGGCATCCAGAAAAACAGTAAATAATTATGTTTAATGGAAATGAAATGAAAAGTAATTCTAGGCTGAAATAACTAACTCTATTAGAGGAATAAAAGAATCTCTCATGGGAAAAATAACACTTGAATAGTCTTCATAAAAGAAAAATATATACATGTGTTTTTTTGAAATTATTTTTAATTTATTCTGATTTTTTTCTATGAAATTGACTTTAGAATTATATTTGTTTCTTGAATGTCTATATGACATCATGAATCTGAGTTGAAAGTAAATATGTTTTTTTGAAATAACCAGGAATAACTTTTAGTTAAGTCAGAAGAATAATTTTAGTGATTGAGTTGGTTAATAACACTTTCAAGGAGTTATGTGTTACCAAAAATGTATGAATTTGCCCAATAACATTGATGGTATTTTTACTCTAACTTCTGCTGCTTTAGCTGCTGAAGATTGAAGATTGAAGAAAATTTTTAAAAAATCTTTGCATTAGTTGGTAGAAGCAAATAAAAATATAAACAAACAAGTCCAATAAGTAACTTCAGAGAGAAGTTCAGAGTTCCAACCAAGGAACAAAAGCAAAGGTAGACAGTTTTATCTAGTGGTACAAGAAGGGTTTATAAAGGAGGTGGAAGATAATTAGGTGTTCTCAAGGTAAGCAAGTGGCAGCACTATATCTTGTTACACGGAGGACTCCTAGTGGAGATGTGACTCCTTGGTTCCTTCTAAGATCAGAAGAAGGCAGTGGATAGTTGCTGGTGCAGAGCATGAGACTAATTCTAGGAATCAAGGTACAGAGGGTAGATAGGGGCCAAAGCACTGTTACCTTAAAAGACTTGGAAAGCCACTGAAGAATTTCACAAGCAGAACTGATTCAGTACATGAGAAAGGGTGTTGTAATAGAAAGTTAGGTCTTTGGCCAAAAGAATTTAAAAACTTCAAAGGAGAAATAAAGATTGTAAAAGTCCCAGAACAAAGAAGATTTGGTTGAGGATGTGAGCACCATGCTACTTGAGAACTGAAGGTCTTACACTATGTTTCAGGGCACAGTCTCCACTGAAATGTGGTGACACCAGAGCAGGATGATGCTGCTAGCACCATCCGCTGATTTCTAGAAGTCACAACATATATTTTTTAATGGGAAAGTGTAATACTGGGAGTCAAGTTATTTTCCAAGAAAGCTAGACCTTCTGAAAGAGCTGAAGGAGAATGGGCTGGGAGACTTTTTTTTTTATTTGAGATGGCAGACTATTGATCTCAGTGAAGCAGCAGAGATCGCAGAAAAATGACTGACAGGGAGTAAAGCAATGGGATACTGTCATGGGAGAGGAAAGAAAAGCAGCAATAACCTTGAAAATGCCCAGGATAAGGCCTGTGAACCCCCTGAGATTCTACTACTTGGGAGGAAGAAGGCAGGGAAAGCTTGAGAAGGTACTTTACACTTTTGACATAATAAATCTCTACTAGAGGAGGAAATAAGAACTACTCACCCTAACTTACATATGAGTTTGCACAATACATAGGTGTTTATTGTAAAAATGTCTTGATTACTTAAGCAAATATGCAATTGGTTTGTGAGAGAAAATGGAGATTACATATATCATTAGGCAATTTGTTTTTATACGTGGATTTTCCCCAGCCCTGAACCAAATATCCCTATTACTCATAGTGTGTGAATGATTAATAACTCTGTTCCTTTTTCTAATTTCCTTTTTTTCCCTCAATTCAATAGTGTGGATTTGACACTTGTCTAGGTTTTTAAATGGACTTTTAATCTGTTGAATTGCCCGTCAGATATCTATTAGCATTAGCATATTTATCACACCACTGAATCCCATCAACTGGTGTCATCTATTTTTTTTTAAATCACTCCCTTTGCTAACAAAAAGAAGAAAAAAAAAAGGAAAAAGGCTGACTTTTATTAGATGAATGATCCCGCTAGGATAATGATTGAACTTACGTTTCATTCCAGTTGACTAAGAAAAAAAATAATTTTTTGACTGGAATATTTCTGTAGTTTCTCACTTGGCACAGCTTCTTCCCAGCATATGTAAGCCAGCAGGAGAAAGAAAATACTTTATAGCTAAAAAGAAACAACATTGATTCAATAAGCTGAATGCTTTAAAGGAAATAGCTTTCTAAATGGGTCAATTATTTTTATAGTCTAAAGTCAAATGATAAAGTGGTGTTTGCTTGTATAAAGTATGCTTTACAGGTTACTTTAAGAATTTATATTGAGTGTATCAGCAAGATTGCAGAGTAGGAACCCCAAGGCCCACCTTTCCCTGTCCATAGCCACACCAGTTCAACAATACACTGATTAATTCCCTTTGTGGGAAATCCAGAAACCATTGAAGAGGCTCCTATATCCCTATACCCAAGGTGTATGGGAGGGCACAAATAGCCACATCAAAGCTGGTAGGAAAATTCATGCCACTCACTTGCCAGAGTCCCTCCCCAGGCATAGAGAGGCATCATGGAGGAAGTTCCCCACTCCTGGCTTTGCGCTGGAGACTGAAAGAGAAGACTGGAACTTATATCTAACACCAGAATTTGTGGGGGCAAGACGATTCAAGGGACTTGTTTCCCACATCTCATTGTAGGCAGGAAAGGCCACCACCAGGTTGGGGATTGCTGAGAGCAATGATGGTGGTATGAACTAGAACATCAACATCATGAATACCCCAACTCAGCATAAAAGGAAGAGGAAAAATTTCTTTCTTTCTGTCCATAAACTTTTTTAAAAAATATTTGAATTTACAAATATGTTTATTTGTATTTTCTTACTGATTTTTAACTTATCACACTGCAGAAAGTGAATGAGATCTATATTATATAGGTTATTTGAAGTCTGTTTTTGGTCATTTAAAATAAATGTTTCATGTATGCTTGACAGGAATTTGTATTTCTAAATTATTTCCTCTAGGGTACAATACAAATTTATTGGATCATGCTTGTTAGTTGTATTTGCTCATTCTTCTGTATTTTTCCCCAATGTGTCTCATTAATCTATCAGTTCCTGAGAGAGGAATATTTGATATCATTCACCATTATAGTAGCTCTGTCAATCTTTCCTTGCATTTTTGTCAACTGTTTTACTTTGTTTCATCTTTCTAGTGAATTGAATATTTCCTACCATGTAGTGACTTTATATTTAATAATGCTTTTTGATTCAGAGTCCATTATGTTAATCTATATATCAATGTTTGGTTGGTGTGTGCAAGGTATTTATATTGAGAGATATTGCATATGTCTCCCATATATTTCTTAACATGGTAATGTAATGAGCCAAGTTTATAAATGAATCTTCAGCAATATGAGTGAAAGATATAATTCTACACATGTGCTTTCTGATGGCAAAGAATATATGACAAGCAGTCTATAGATGCCGTTTAATTCTTCATAAAGAAGACACTCTCTTGGAGAGAACAAATTTTAGTTTGTTCATGTGTTCACAGTCTCTCATAATTAAAAATGTCAGATCATTTTTGCACGAAGATACTTTATTACATAATATGCATTACTGTACACATTAGGCATTTATGCATAATTAATCTGGTATTCTATTTGTCATAACATAGTATTATACTTTATGAGTGATTTAAGGGATTTTTAAAAATATTTTTCGCTGACTTTTTAATATAACCTCTTCATACAATGTGATTCTACCTTATTAATTGTTACTAATGATAATTTTTACAGTTGTTAACCAACCTCTTTTCCACTTCCATTAATTGCTATAGACTCAATTTTATAGATGCTGGCCCCCAGGTCCTCAAACCCTAGGTTTATATCTCTACTAAAATATCTTATTTGCTCTCAGAGTGTCTTCTTTCTTTACAGTCATCACTTCTTCAACTTATATTTCTGTCCTCTGTCCTCTGCAATAACATTGCAGCCTAAGTATTCGTGCTTTCCAGGACCCAGGTGGCCATCTCACAAACCAAGGCCAACTTGTTCCTCTTTTCAAGGGAGTTTGTTTAGAAACTTTCAACAGATCTTTTTTGAGCATCTATAATAACCTAGGAAATGTTTTGGAGACTACA